TGTTTGTTGCTCCTCATTCTCTTCTGAGACTATTTGATTTTAAACACTTGATTGTGAAAGAAAGAAGCTTGTACGAAAATCCCCCCTCACCTTTTCATGTCCCAAAAAAGCAGCCAACAGTAAGCTTTGTTTCATTGAAGAAGTCCCTGGGCAGGTGGAGAAGGCCATGGAGAAGGGCAATGAAGCTGGATGTCCAGTAAATTGGGGCTTCTCGGGGACCCTATTTCCTCTGCACACTTGGACCCTTGAGCCAAAGGCAGCCCCTAACAGGTGCCCAAGCCACAAATCTCAGGGGGCTTTTGTCGGAGGGCCTTCTTAGGCCCAGTCTCCTAAGGACACTGCCACCCTAAAGCACACGCATGCCCAGCCATTCTTTATGCTTCCGGGCCTTGGAGCAGCGCGTCTCCAGCTGCCCTCTTGGAATCCTGAGGCTTCAACCCTGGCTCTCTGGCTTCCCCATCTGTCCCCTACTAGATACCTTCCTTTCTCAGTGTTCCAGCAAGGGCATTGTGGGCCACTGCCACTGAGTGTCCTTCCCTTCTTGTGCCCCTTCCCGCTTGTAGCAACCTCACCTGGAAAATGTAATGGCTCAGGTACCCTGGCTTCCTTCCCACAACCAAGTCCTCTCTGTGTATCCACGAGAGGTAGCTCACTCAGAAGGCCAGAGCAGGTGCAATTCTTCATCCATGGCTTCCCTGGTTTAAATTTATTTATTATGTACATATAAATATACATAATAAATTTATTTAATTTTAAAATTAATTTATTTAAATTTAAATTTATTTATTTATTATGTATACAATATGCTGTCTGTGTATATGCCTGCAGGCCAGAAGAAGGCACCAGATCTCATTACAGATGGTTGTGAGCCACCGTGTGGTTGCCAGGACTCGAACTCAGGACCTTTGGAAGAGCAAGCAGGGCTCTAACCTCTGAGCCATCTCTCCAGCCCCCAGTTTCACTTTTTCTGCAGCCCCTTAGAGTCTTCATGTGCACCAGGCCACCTTTTTGCAGGATCCCTGGTCTGCCAAACGCTAAAGGTCTTAAAGTGGAAAAAAAAAGAAAGATTAGTTGGGTGTGGTGGTACACACTTGAGAGCCAGAAGTAGTTTGACCTGTGAAACACCAAGGGGCAGAGGTAGATTGACCTCTATGACCTCAAGGTGTGGCAGGACACACCTTTAATCCCAATGCCTGAGGGGCTGGGACAGACAGATCTCTGTGAGTTCA